TGTAATTATCTAAGATTTGATTGGTTGAAATGATGGCTCCATGCATAAACATGTTTCAGTAATAAATATCTTTAGTATAAACAGCTGCACAGTGCTGAACAATATCAGATGATGTCTTTCACTGTGTGCGTTATTATTAATGTATCAAGTTTTATTGGAGTGGTGGAATCAGTACCAAAACCTAGTGCCATGGCATGGTGGGTATGGGACTCAACTTCTCTTTAAAATTAAAATATGCTCCCAGTGGGAAGTGTGTGCTTACTGCTTTCTTTAAAATTAATTGTAATATATTGCTGCAAGTCTACCTCATTCCCCATAAGTAGTTATATTCCTGCTCGACACCCATACACTCAAAGTGTTATCAAATGAAACTTATAACTTGCTTGAACTCGCTAGAACAGACCTTACCGCTACCGTCTGTGAGTCGTGTTTCAAGTGCAACTGCGCACCCCCTTTGGAACTTATCAACACCCAAATTACTGGGTCAAGTTACTATAACACAAACTTTCAATTCTTTAGTATAGTGTTGTCTTGAAAGAGGCAATAAACACAGTCTATTATTTAAAAAACATTTTGTATCCATGTTTTAATACTGCATTTTAATATAATGAGAACATTTCATATTCTATTTAATATCATGCATTTCTATTCAACCAATTTGTGAAATCCCTCCATGGTGAAATACTCTAGTGGGTGCTTTGACACAGGTTTAGTTTTTGGAAATCCTTCCCCAACATATCGTACATTATTTCCCTTTTATTGCTGTGTTTATGTCTTCACTTGTTCTTGTAATCTCATGCCTCTGTCAGTGAGTCATGTACAAAAGACTAACATCCATTAGCGTTCAGGTATTTTAAGTGTGGCACCATCTCATGCAGTTTCCTAGTGAGGCTATTGTTTTGCCAACCTAAAACTATAGATGAAATAATAATGTTATGATGTTCAGCGGGAGGTAGTTTTTACCAGTGCTATAAATAAATGACTCATTTGAAGCCATAATTATTGATCCAAAAACAGTTAAATCCAAACCCTGAAAACTGACAGTCAGGGTAGGCAAAACAATTAAATACAAATTCCTTGACAGCCAAAATGCTGAATTGAGGCATTCATTTACAATAAAATTGACAACTGTAAGTGGCAGATTGCCCTATCTTTCTATCAGTCACACAAAGACTCCGTATGGTGCCGTATTTAGAAGAAAAAAGTAATTGAGATCATTAACACCGAACAAAAAAAATAGTTAAACTGCATAAATATATGTCAAGAAGCACTCAGAAATAAGATAGAATAAGTCTCTAATACCCCAGTGCCCCACGATTAGTTATCCGACCAGAAGATATGCAAAACACAGTCTACCACAGTATATTACTTTTCATCTACCAGATTTAGTTAGTAATAAAACCTACTTATTTAATTATTAAAATATAGGTAAGCTATAAAAATGTTCAGCTTGGGACATAGGCCTCATATTCATAATGAAAATGAAACCAAGTATCCCAGAATTCCTATGCCTACTCATTAAAATTATCTGAGATCAAAATTAAAGTGACAAATGCTGGTTTCATCCCCTTTTGTAAAGAATTAATAGAAAGAGACAAGAATATTGGGGC